GTATATACTGCTATACCCAACTGACCTCTGTTTATTCATATTAAATATGCAAATCTCAGAAAAAGACAAGAAAGATCACTGAAATGCTTCTCAAAAGACTAAGCTCTTAAATGTCTTCTGTTTTTATAGGATCAGGTCTGTATCCATCTCTGTCCACTTCATGATGGAACAGATTTATTCTACCCTGGTGCCTATTTGGAGTCTTAAGAGACTGGAGATAAGTGAGGGGGAAAAGTTAAAATCAGTTGTTTATTGTAGAATTGTTCTTTCCCCCCTTTAAATCAGGTTGCCAGGACCCACAATTGAGGGCTTTCTTTTCTTTCCTTTTTTTTTTTTTTCCCCAGTACTTGGAATTGAACTCATGACCTTGCACTTGCCAGGCAGGCACTGTGCTGCTGAGCTAAATCCCCAGCCCCTTGAGGGCTTTCTTAACAAAGAAACTATTTTGACCTAACACTGTAGATAGTGTGTGGTGCACCTATACCTTGGAAGATCCTCTTTCCTTTTCACCTTATAAAAGCTTTATTTCAAAGTGAAAGCATCTCCCCTATAAAGTTGTTTCTGGCTTACTCTGCCTTTAACTTCAATTCCGGTGTGCAGTTTTCCCCAATCATTCCTTGTCCTTTACTCCTGCCTCAGGAATGGGCAAGATGGTTGATACATTAAAGATGGTTAAATGAATGTGTACAGCAATATCATGTAAGGCTTTTCAACCCAAAAAGAAAACATATTATTATGAAAATCATCTTATTGTGAAAATTATCATTTTATTGTAAAACACCAGAATGTTTCAGTTCTTACTCTGCTCCCAGAAGAAAATGCTATTTTGAATGGAACATTTAGGTCAACATTTTATTTAGATGACTCAATTCTCCTGCCACAAACTATTTCTGAGCATGAAATGGCTAGATGGTGATGTAACTACTTTGAAAACTCCAAAGCATTCTCATATATATTTTTCCATGCCTTCTCAATGCACAAAACTTTCTCATTCTTCCTGGGGATAAATTGAGAGGGAAAACTTCATAGTTTTCTTAGCCAAATATTCTCAATGTTTAAATTCTTTATATTAAATTTTTCTATAATCTATCTGAGGTGCAATGGTGAGCACATTTGGCTACTTTTCTTGGAATATTATAGAAAGATGTCTGTCAAAATGTTAAAATCAGAAAAAGGCAACTGAGAAAGTGAGAGACTTGGACATGGATCTACTTTTTTTTTAAATTTTATTTTAAAGAGATTAGTAAATAAAAAACAAGAACAATAGCAGCATACAATGTCACAAACATAAATGAACCAAAACAAGAACATTTAAAGTGATGCAGGGTTTCAAGACAAAGTAATACGAATTGACAGTGGTTGTTATATTAAATATTGTTATCTTCAACTACATTGCTCAGATTACCAGATGTGAGAATGGAAGATTGTTCAAACCATTAAAGAGAATAAGAAAATAGTTATTAGATAAAGCATTAGAGATAATAGAGGTTCATGAGACAAGATGGAAGGAGTTCACTGTGGTAGTTCCATTCCATATTGTTGCCTTCAAATCAGTTCCTCAGATTACCAGATATAAGCGTGCCAAATTGGTCAGATGGTCAGAACATAAAAAACTTTTAGGCATTAACTGTTCCTTTCAATATACCATCAGACATTAGCAGTACAGTTATCCCAGATATATATATATTCATTTATATTTTGCCTTCTTTCTTTTTTCTTCTTTCCCTCATTCCAGTCATTCCTTCCTTTGAGCAATTTCTTTCCCTTTCCTATCATCTATTGTACATTTTGACTTTTACTTATTCTTTCAGGTTCATACACCAGGGAGACAATATGATGTTTACCCATCTGGGTCCGATTTATTTCATTTATGCATATGGTCTCTACTTGCATCCATTTACCTACAAAAGCCTTGAGTTTATCTTTGTTTATAGCTGAGTAATACTCCATTGTAGAAAAATACCACATCTTTTTTATCCATTCCTCAGTAGATGGGCATTTGGGGTGTTTCCAATATTTAGCTATAGCAAATTGTTCTGCTATAAACAGGGGTGCACATATATCGCTGTGGTAGGATGGCTTTAATTCTTCTGGGAAAATACCCAGAAGGGGAATAACTGGGTTAAATGGGACTCCCAATCCTAGTTTTGTGAGGAATCTCCAAACTGATTTCCACAGTGGTTTCACCAATTTACATTCCCATCAGCAGTGGAGTAGGGTTCCTTTCTCCCCACAGCCTCTCCAGCATTTGCTATTGGTTGATTTCTTGATGATAGCCATTCTTTCTGGGGTGAGATGAAATCTCAGTGTTGTTTTAATTTGCATTTCTCGAATGACTAATGACGTTGAACATTTTTTCATGTATTTATTCCCTATTATATCTCTTCATTAAAGAAGTGTGTATTCATCTCAGATGCCCATTTTTGGATTGGGCCTTTGAATTAGGGAGGCCTGATTTCTTTTAATTCTTTATATGTCCTAGATAGAAGTCCTTTGTCTGAGGGGCAGTTGGCTAAAATTTTTTCCCCATTCGTGGGTTTTCTTTTTACTCCATTGGTGATTTCTTTAGATGTGCAAAAACTGTTCAATAAGATGACATTCCAGTTGTTGATTCTTTGAAGTATTTCCTGTATAGTTTAGTTTTTGTTCATGAGCTCTCTGCCTACCCCTATATCTTCAAGATTTTTACCTACTTTCTCTTCTAATAAATGTATTAGAATGTTTCTGTTTTAATATTTAGATCTTTGATCCATTTTGACTTTAGTTTAGTGAATGGTGAAAGACCTGGGTCTAGCTTTAGTCTTCAGCATGGGGAAAGCCAGTTTTTCCAGCACCATTTATTAAAGAGGCTATCTTTCTTCCCGTGAACATGTTTGACCCCTTTGTCAAAGATAAGGTGACTGAGTGTGCTTATAGTTGTATCTGTATCTTCTAATCTGTTCCACTGATCTTCCGGTCTGTTTTTGTGCCAGTACCATCCTGATTTTATCATAGTAACTTTGTAATATAATTTTAAGTCAGGAATTGTGATACCTCCTGCCTTTCCTTTATTGCCCAGGATTGCTTTTGCTATTCTAGGCCTCTTCTGGTGAATCTACTTTTAAAAGACCAAAACATAATGATATTTTTTGTCTTAATCAAGGACACCCTTTTCAGGGTCAGTTTTGCTGAACTCTGAATCCTAGTCAAGTCATATATCAATAATCTGCAAATTATTAAATGAATGAGAAATAGCAGGAAGCTCTATATCTAGGAAAATCTTCTATCTCAGATTTTTTCTTAGAGAGCTGGGGAATCCTAATGTTCCTTTCTAATTTTTGGCTAAAGAATTAATCTAAAGCTATAATATTTCCCCTAGTGACCTTCTAAGGACTTAGAGTCTGCCAAGTAAAAGGAAACCCCAAACTCTTCCATGCTATAGCATATATTCTAGATGTTTAAAAATATGTTGAAGACAGCGAATGAAAACTCCTAAGAAAAGAGAATTTTAAACACCTTTAATTGTCCATCTATTGTGGCAGTTCCCTTGACCCATGGAAGATCTCAACTTGTTTATAAGTGCAGTGAAGTGATGGATAAAATGATTTTTGGTTTTCACTATCACACTTAAGTGGAAAGCTCTGTTAGACAATCTTGTCTAGTGGTTTGTTTTCAAACTTCCTGAGGAGTACCCATTTCTTATTGGTACTTCTAAGGTTCTAACCGATGTCATCCAGTAAATCAGAATAATAGAGTCTCTCAATGGCAAGGTAAACCCATTTGATACAGGGAACACATTAAATTCATGGGAGGAATATGAAATTTGGGAAAGATCTGCATAAATTCAACATTTTTTTCTCTTCACATTGAATCATATACCTAGTGTAACATTTTCATTTTATAGAAAAGAAAGGTAAAACTTTTGCTATGTTCTACAAATATATTAATGTGAGTATTATATTGAAATCCAAAGCTATACCTACCTTCCAATATTATTTTTGTCTGGCCACACTGGATTAAAACATGATTTATATTTATGTGGCATTTGTCCTGGCACAGTAGCTCAATAAATCACAGTTGTGGTTTTCAGGATGATGATTATTATTGCAGTTACGCCTGTATCAACATCGAGTATAGAATGAAAGTAATAAAAGGTGTTTCATTAAAAGTCCTCCTCTCCTTTGTAGGACTACTCATTATTACCAGGATGAAACAGTGTTGTTAGTTAAAGGGAAGCACTTCATTCCTTTCTAAAAGGCCAATTAGAAGTGAATTTACAGGAATTACAATAAGAATATGTTAACTAGAGACAAATTACTTACATAGAAAGAAAAGTTAGAAAATGGCTTACAATGTTAAATCTCTGACTCCTTGAGCAAATTGTCTCATTTCTCTGCTTCTCAGTTTGTGGTTTGACAAGAACAGCTTCTAAGACCTATCCTTTCCACTCAGAATTCTAGAGTTCTATGAAATGCCTTTGAGAGAGTCACCAGCAGTAGCTTCCAATCTGGAAGGGGAGACAAATAAGTCTTTGCATACCCTTACTCAAGTGATCTCCTAAGGCTACAGAATATATCAGTGTTGTCTGGAAACCTGGATGGGAGCAGAACAGTTTTGCCTCTGGGTTAGGAGAACTCTTGGATGGTTCTCACTGGGACCTGGAGGGCCAGCTGTTAAGAAAACCTAGTGCCCCAAACCTAGTTCTTAGAGCAATAAAAAAAAGACAAAAGATAATTTCTTATGCTTGAATGAGAGCAGTTTTGTGCAGCACTACACCACAAAAACACCCTAAAAGGCTTCTGCTAGGCTGGGGATATAGCTCAGAGGCACAAGCACCTGCCTGGCAAGCACAAGGTCCTGAGTTCGATTTCCGGTACCAAAATAAATAAATAAATAAATAAATAAAGGCTTCTGGAACACTAGTAAATATGGTAATAAACATATCAATGATAAATGTGCCAGCTGGTATATATTGTTGTACATAATACATGGAACATAACATTATTTTTACTTATTTGCAGCAAAACCAAGGCAAATGCCCAGCCCAGAATTGTTCAGTGGAAGCCCCTGCATGGATGCCTGTCCACCATTGCACTGTAAGTTTGATTATGTCAAGATTCGCTAAATTGAAGCAGAAATATTTCTATGTTTTAGAACAGCTTTAGTACAATAAGCTGGAGTATTCACAGAGCAGCCTTTGGAGAGGAAAAACTGTGTATTTTCAAAAACTATTGAGATTAGGAATTTTATGCATTTTTTCAGAGTCAGGATGACTAGCAAAAGATTTCTCTAAGTGGGTTATTGATGAATTTGAATTGCATTAAAGTGAATATATTTGCATATATGTTTTTCTTAAAAGCTGCACATTCGGCAATATTTGATTTTAGATGCCTTTGAGAGGAATGCTTTCTCTTCTACATCATTGTTTGGTTGACTGCTTAATAGTGATGAATAAATGGACTTGCAATTTTCAAGTCTTCCTGTGATAATACTCCCTGCATTTGTGTACAATTTTCTATCAAAGATCTTTCAAGTGCATTGGGAAAAAACAGGTACTATGTCATTATCCCTGTGTTGCAAATTGCAGACTTAAATGCAGAGGGAGTAAGAACAGTATATCAACTGCCGAGCTGGCCATAGATCCCAGACACCTTAAGTCTGTCTGCTTGCGTGGACTTGTTCTGCTACATTGTACTCTGAAGTAAATGAAGAAAGTAGCTGATTTGTATGATACATTCTTGTACATGCATTGCCTGAGAGAAATGACAGTAGTCCCTGGGGAAACTGTGTGTACTATAACTGACAATTTGCATATCATGGAGTGATGGCTGTGAGAGGGACAAGAGATAAGAAAGTTAGTTTTTTGGCATTCCCCTCCTTGCAGGAAGAGTAAAGGTGATATGTTGTGCTTCCGCAATGTCTGCATCTATTGTCACCGCACATGCTGCTGAGCGCTGCAGCAGGGCTGCCATAGCAGGACTTACGACTGTGCTCTAAGGCAGTGGGCATGAGGGAACTTGGTTTTCGTTCAGGTCATGTAAGGGGCAAAGCATCTCTTCTTGGCTTTTGTTTATCTGTGAAAGAAAGAAAAGGTGAAGGAGATGATGGTGCTAAATTTTGGAGATTCCTGCAGTGCAGAGGCAGCTCAGACTTGCAAAAGACTTGGGGAATAAAAATGTCACACTTTTGTGAGCAGATGGCCAGGGGGGAATGCATACTTAGGGATTCTGCTAATGCCGGAGAAAGGACAAGTTTTAATGACTTTATCTTCATCAGTCACTCCTTTTATTATATCCCTGATGATGCTATCTCATAATTACTGATTTGCGTGTCTGCTTCCACAAGGAGACCAAGGGTCCTTGGTTAGTGCCAATTACAAGGTTAGAGCTGTCTAAGTAAATCGAAATCAATCAATTTTGATTCTTTGGTTTATTGATTTCCTGTCTAGTGTGTGCTGAGGTGCTATTGTCACCTTCTAGGTTCATTTTGAAATTTAGTTCCCATTGTCATGTATTAAGAAAACAGAAATTTAACTTGACTATAATGTTTTGCAGTGAGATCTTTTCGAGGTGGTTAGGATTAGATAAGGTCATCAGCATGGAACTCCTGCTATTGAATGCTGATGGCTTTACAAGAGGGGAAGAGACCTGGACACATGGGTGCTCCCTGCGGTCCTCATGTGATGCCTCATGCTGGCTCAGGGCAGCCAGAGAAAGGCTACCACCAGATGTGGCTCCTTGACCTTGCACCAGAGTCATGAGCCAAAATAAACCTTTTTCCTTTGCGGCTTATCTAGTCTGTGGTATTGTATCTTTGGCAGTGGAAAACAGACTATATACTATGTTTCAGTAATTGTTTTTACAACTCTTATTTCTTCTTAAGGGGAAATAATAATGCTTTTTGACCCTTTTAGGCTGCTAATTTTTATTTCTCTCTTTCATGGGTTCTTTCACACTTTTCTTCTCGCATGAATACCACAGTATATGTTTTTTGGGAATTTTTGTCTTCAAACTAGTCAAAATTTAGTGATTTCATTCATCTATGTCTGGTACTATACCATTGCTAGAGAAACAAACATGAATAAGACACCATTCCTATATTTATCAAGTGTACCCATCTACAACATCAATATGAATTTCTAATTAGTAACTGATCCTTGACTACCCTGATGACTTCAACCCAAAGTAAAGGAAACTTGACAACCTACTTACCTTGTACAGTATTATTGCAAGGAGAAAGCAGTCTTTTGAGTTATTAGGAACTAATAATAATAATAGTAGTTCACTTTTCATTATTGTGATGGAAGCAGGGCTCTTAGGATCTAGGGATTCCATGTTAGGTCCTCCGGTTGTGAGACCGTAAGAACTAGCAATACAACTAGTTTAGGGTTCTTCCTAAGGATGAGAAGTCAGAAATGCCTAATTTAAAATCTGGCCAGGCAAGAGCATCAGCAAGACATTTCCTATCACTTCTGCCATGGGACTGGGGGCTGCTGGCTTCATAAATTTCATTTGGCATTCATTTAAATGTGATAATGATTATTTTCTTTGAGTGGGGCAGACATGACCTGCAGGAGTTGTGCAACATATAATGATCTGCTTCTCTGCAGGTGACCCTCATCTGCACAGGTGGACCCCCAGGGGCCATGTTTGGGTAGGTGGGCCTGGCCTTGGCCATAACTAACTGATCCAGGTGTGGACATTTGTTCCAAGAAATGGTAGATGGATTCTTGCTCTGGAATCTGACATTTATCCTAGAGAGATATTGTTATGTTTTAGATCTAAAATATCCCTCTGAAGTCTCACATATTCAGAAGTGGGGGTCTTGGAAGGTGACTGTGCAATGGGGCATTGTATTCATCAGTGGATTAATGCATTGATGAGTTCGTGGATGAATGTGTGCTTAGGAGATGAGACCTGGCCTGAAGCAGCAGGGAACTGGGGACATAACATGGAAGGTTATGTTCTTGTTTCTGTGTTCCTTGGTTCGTCCTGGATACCACGAGATAAGCAGCTTCCCTGCACCACACCTTCCCACCATGATGTTTCTGCCTTGGAGGTAGTCAGTCATGGACTGAATCCTCTGAGCAATGACCCACATTAAGCATACTTTTCTTTAAATTGTGAGTATTGGGAATTGCATCTCAGTGAAGGGGAAATGACTATACAGATATTAATTGGTAGTCATTCCCATTAAATCATATGAATGACATTACTGTGGATAATATTCTGTGAACCTCAGTTGCTGAGATCCCTGGATTGCCCATCTGAGGTTGTTACCTACTCTGATTCTGTGAAAATGTCCTAATAGCTTGCTGATACTCATTAAATTAAATTCTTCTCAAAATGTTTAGATTTTTGTTTTATTTCATGTGGGAGTTATTTGATTTCCTTATAAACCAAAAGAAAAGCTCATTCAGTAATATGCTCAGGCAGCAATGTTTTTTGAGCCTCCACTCCTTACCCGCAAACTTGAGGTAATGAGTAGTAGTTTCAGACAGAAAGAAGCATTCGAAACACTGGGATTTTGATAATTTTTAATAATCTATTCATGTGATATATCTGACTTTATGTAACACTTATGAATTTTAAAAATTGCCAAAGAATAGTTTGATAAATTCTTAATTATAGAATGAAAAAAAATGGCAGTTAGCTACACTACTTAAGTAGCATACATATATTTTTATAACAAAGAAGTACATATGATGTGGAAAGTCATTCATCTTCTTATCTCTCAGGGCATAGTAAAAATCATACCTTCACATTTTTAAGAGAATGTCTCAACTGTCTCCAATCCTTCAAGCCCTGAATCAGGTTATAAATAAATTAATACACTCTTACATGCATAATAAATGGATCATCTCTATTACTTGTATGCCTTTTTCAAGTTCAGTTGATTCTCTCCTACATTACTTTTCCCACTACCCTATTCTTTCTTGGTGTTTTGTCCTAGAATGATTGTATCCTCGTAATTAGACTTTATTACTTTTTGCAAAAAAAAGTCTTGGTCTTCCTGTGAGCATTTGCCCCAAGTTTATTTTAAGTACAGAGCATTTTATCATTGTTTTTCCTAAGAAAACTTCTTTTTCCAAATTGCTTTGCAAATGCCTGTTGTCAGTGAAATATTGCCTCAAAAATGACTTCTATTGCTATTTGTTCAGTTTCTCCCAAGATGTTCCCATTTTTGGCTTTTCATGCCTGTGTTGTAATGGGTCAGAGAGGTTTTTATTTTATTTTTTAAAGACTTTTCTTTTTAGTTAGAATTGTAATGCACAGATTAAGATTTAATCTAAAAAGAAATTTTGTTCCAAGTAATTATGCATAACTGGACATAATTATACTTTCTGACTGACAGTAAATGAAGTATCTTCCCTAGTGAGAGTTATAACAGTTTATCTTTCATTATTTGGCCACATTAAGCGCTAAAACAAAACACTTCCTTACCCCTATACTTTAAGTTTAATTGGGTTGTATGCCTCATTGGTTTGTATAACCATGGATATGATCACAATTGTTACCCGAAACACTGCCACTTTTTAACGATTGAGAAAATGCCCGTGGATTCTAGGGCCCAGACAAAGAAAAGCAGATCTCTGAATTTTTAGTGAAGTAGGCTAAGAATTAGTTCCTGGAACTTAGAAAATAAAGAAGTTTGGATTTGACCAGGTGTAGGAGACTGAGTGACTGCTGCATTTCAAGGCATGTCTCTGGACCACTTAATGTAGCTATGGCCTAAATAGGGATTTAATCATTTTAAGGAAAAGTCTTAAACCCACTCCCTAGTTAATAGCTGTAACGTGTGATTTTTATTGATTAGATATATATTTCATAAATACTTATGCATTTTCTAGAATAATTGTTTTTTTTTTATACTTATATGTCCCTTAGTGGAAATTAAAGGATAATGCCAAGAGAGAATTTCATAAGCTAATTTGAAAATAAAGTCCTCGCTGTTTTAGAGCTAATCAAAGATTTTGCTATTGCTATATGTAATTTATATATATATATATATATATATCGCTATATTTAATATTTACTCCTAAGTACATAAATACAGTATTTTTAAAAATCATGTCAATATTTGTAAATTTGAACAC